ATAATTAACACTACTTCTTTTCAGTTTCTTTATTTTAACTCTTTAAAATACCTACATGAATATTGAGTTACTCCATGGTACAGAAAATAAGCTACTTCAAATACATACTTATTATTTAAGACTTAATATATAGTACACATTAATGTCTAAATTAGGGGGTTTTCTCTAAATTCAGTGATGGAGAAAATTAGCTTAATAAAATGATTTAAGACTAGATGGAAATGTGTTGTTTCTGTGTCTCAATAAAAAAAGTAATGAGTTTCTGGGATCATTAAATTCTAAATTAAAGTCTCCTCTTCTGAACCAATTATTATTTTTCTAAAATAATTAAAACACTTTTAAAGCCAATAATATACCATTATTGGAAAACTAGGTTTGGAAAAAATAACTTATTTGGTGAGAGTTAATGTAATTAAAATATTTGATGAGCTTCATCTACTACCTCATATGGATCAATTGGTAAAAGCAGGTGTGTTTGCTGAAGTAGATAAACAAAAGTGAATCAGCTTGCACTGTTTTAGAAATCTCCTACATTATTATATGGTTCCTGTGAGATATATTTCCCTCATTCATATGTTTATTTATCTCACAAAAATCTGTTGACAGTTGGATCAAGTAAGACAAGGCCTCTGCCTGCCAGTCTGGATGCCCTGGGTCAGTCCTGCAGTGAGTAGTGACAGCCAGAACACAGCCTATGCAGGCCAGTGTCACTTCAAAGTAAGTGAATTGTTCTCTTTCCTTGCGTGTTCCCAGAGCCCAGCTCTGAAAGAAAGGACTGTACGTGATTTGGGAGTTGATTCCAGGAACCACCAGCAGCAGAGTGGGAAGGTAGGACAGGGAGAGAAGCCAACAGGGCTTGTGTTATAATGTTGTGGCTCCCCTGGGGCTCCTGGAGGGGAGATGTGCTGCTGGACAGGGAGTCAGCCAGGCCAGCATGCCTGTGGTTTCAGCAGGGCACACCGGTTAGGTGGAGTCCCAGTTGTGTGCCTTGTGGACTTCACTCGGGTTTCTCAAACACTCTAAGGCAGAGATTTTCTACTTTTTTTTTAATCTCATGGCACACATAAGGTAATTACTAAAATTCTGCTCACACCAAAAATATAGTTTTTGCCAATCTGACAAAAAATAGGTGTAATTTCGAATTATTGACATTGAACAGCTATTGTTGTGTTGGCTGTTGTCGTTTTTTTACTAGACAATCTAATGGAAAAGAGGTTAGTGTACCTGACTAAATAGTCAGGTATTGCATGTTTTAAAAATTCTTGTGGCACATCAGTTGAAAATCGTTGCTTCAAGGGAACATGAAACCCTCCTAATACATCTTACATGTCCCTCAGTCACCCGAGGAAAAAAATTATTTTCTCTCCTAGCCTCTTTAGCATTTGGTTCTATCCTTTCCATCTCTGATTTGGTAGAAGATGAAAGATTCAGAGCAAACTTAAATTGTCTGTTTTTGCCTTGAATTTTATTTAACCCAACAATTGCTCTTATGCCAGCAGTGCTGAGATGGTGTCACAGGATGACAGAGAGGGGAGTGGAACTCTGCTTGGAATAGCTGCAGAAGGCTGCATAATAGGTGTGGCTTAAAGCGGCCTAGGAGTTTGCAACTTGGGAAGATGAGGCTGTTCCTATGAGAGGAAAGAAGACAAGCAAAGCTCCAGGGTGCCTTAGAAAGGAGAAAATGTGCTTTGTGCCTGGGTTGCAAGGTACAAGGGGCGTTAAAAAGGGGCCTTCAGTTAGATAGAGCCAGATTGCACATTGGAAGATTAGGAAGGAAGGATGCCAAAAAGAAAAAAAATGCTTTCCTCCAAACTGCTGATAACACTAAATATTTACCTAACCCTAAGTCAAGTATATTATGTCAATATAATGACATAATAGAAAGGAAGAGAGCAAAAAAATTTTGGACATGGGTAACATAGCTAAGTCTTTATTTTTCCATAATGGAAGTAATAAGTACTAACTAATAATAGAAACAATGAGCAATAAGGAAGGGTAAAAATAGCAACAAAATATTTTATGTACAAGTAATTCCATTAGACATTGTTAAATATGCTAAAGATAATTGTATGAAGAAATGAGAGTTGGAATAAAGAGAGATAGTAAATTGATGAAGGATAATTGAACTTTTTTAAAGATTTTACTTATTTATTTTTAGAGAGGGAAGGGAGAGAGAAAGAGAGAGAGAGAGAAACATCAATGTGCGGTTGCTAGGGGCCGCGGCCTGCAACCCAGGCATGTGCCCTGACTAGGAATCGAACCTGTGATGCTTGGTTCGCAGCCCACACTCAATCCACTGAGCTATGCCAGCCAGGGATAATTTAACTTTTAAATCTATGAATATGAACATGTGTTACTTTGATAATTTTATTACAACTCACAGATCAATATCTAAATGAATGGACTTCATCAAAAATATTATCTGCAAGATACTCAGTAAGATGTGTAACATTGTCACCTCTATCTCCTCCTAAGAGATCCATTGAATATCCTGACTGATTAGGGAGCTCTAAAATGTTGTCTTGCTTTCTTTAAATTTATCATAATTATAGTCAATAAAGGTTCATAACTATTTAGTATGTTAAAATTTTGCTCCATTATCACTTTAAATAATTTCTTATAAATACAGTCACTTTAAAGATCAAAAGCCAGCATGAGGAGAAAATGATTAGTTTGCCATTCTCTCCTTATAATCCAATAATCCCTCTACCTTACTGAACTTTTAATCTACTTCAAATTTGCAAGATTGTGTGGTGAGATCTTAAGGGAGAAAGGGGACTAGAAGAATATTCTTGTTTTTTGGTTTTTATGCTGGAAAGTGTTAAACATTAAAGTGTTTTCTGCTAAGCAATCATTAACCAACAACATTTTGTAAAATGATTTTTTTCTAGTTGCATTTATTACCCATACATGAATATTATGGACTCTTTACTTAGGTCTCCTCAATAACGAGCCCTTGATTGCCAGGGGACAGTCCCCAAAGCCAGACATGCTTAACAGGAAGATCGAATGTACTTGTGATACTCTGCTTCAAAATTGTGTCAAATGCGTCTGTGTGCCTGTGTGCCTGTGTTTGTGTGCACACATGCATGCAACATTTTCTTATAATGCCTGGAAAATAATTGGTGCTTTGAAGCAGCAGTACCCAGCATTTTTGGTACCAAGGACCAGTTTCATGGAAGACAATTTTTCCATGGATTGGGGGTGGGCAGGATGGTTTCAGGATGATTCAAGTGCATTAAATTCAAGCTCACCTCCTGCTATGCAGCCAATTCCTAACAGGCCTGGATGGTACTGGTCCATAGCCCAGAGTTTGGGGACCCCTGCTATAAAGTCCTTGTAAAATATCAACTGCAAATAAAATGCACAACTTTTCCTTAACAGTTTCTAGCAATGGCATCACATCTGTCATGTACTAAACATTAGTAGTTTCATATACCAAGGTACATCCTGTACTGTCACATATAATAAATAACCCATCAATAATATATTGTTACATCTATCTTATTACCTTAGACTTAAAATGACAATGGTTACCACTTATGAAAGGATGGTTACCTGAAGCTGTTTTTTTTTTCCTGTGGTGTTATGTTGATGGATTTCCAATGTATTGATGGATTTCCAATGTATTATCACCTCTAGCACCTAGTCCCCTTGCTAACCTTTAGTGTATATTTTTATAATGGCTGACCAGAGTTGATTAAAGTCATATACTGTGGTCATGAGATCACGCAAAACCATAGAAACTGATTTCCATGTCTCGGCACTGGCTTCATTTGCTGTTAACTAAACATACGAATTGACTGCAGCTAGGTAAAAAAACATGAATTATGTCACAAAATGTGGTAGATAAACCCAAGTCCAGCTCCTCTTAATTGACACCATGAAGGGAAAAGGAAAGAATGAACAGAAAGGATGAGATGAGATAGTCTATTCTGCAATAAAACAAATGAACAGATAATAATTGTAGATTAACAACTGTAAATTAGCGATTTTGGCAACAATGAGATTTATAAATCATTTTATTATAAAAATTTGTGTTATAAGAGTCAATTTTGTCAACTCCTTTTAAGTCTGCTCCTTAGCCAGTACTTTGAATCCACTTCCAAAATATCGTGTCCTGGTCATTTTATGACAGGTAGCAGTTACTCTTGACTTAACTTTTTAGTGTAAGTTACTTTTTAGTGCAAGTTACCTTCCCCAAATTATACAACTTTTTAAAAAGATTATATTTATTTATTCTTAGAGAGAGGGGAAAGGAGGGAAGAGAAACATCAGTATGAGAGAGAAACTCTTCTATGTGCTCCAACCAGGGACTGAACGAACCTGCAACCCAGGCAAGTGCCCTGATCAGGCATCGAACCAGAGACCTTTTGCTTTGCGAGATGATGCCCAACCAACTGAGCCACACCAGACAGGGTAAATTATACAACTTTTGACCCGATATCATTTAGTAATATGACATCTATCATGGTTTATGAACTTAACACTCAAACTGTCTTACTTACTTTAGATACTAGCCTCGAAATTTGCATCCTTACCGCCAGGTGGCAGCAGATCTCCTGCCTTCAAGTAATCTAATGCTTTTCCTTTCTTAAGACCCAAATTTCAACAAGAATTTTGAACAAATTCTGTATGTAAATCCAGTGTTTAAGCCACTTAAAGCTAAAGAATTTTGGGGTCATGTAAACTTCATGGAACCTAGGTTAAGAAAGTCCATTCCAAAATCTCTTTTACTAAATATACTATTTTTAAACTATTTACAATGTGCAATTGGTACCTGTTATGCTGAATGTGTGTGTCCCCCCTAAATTCATATGTCAACACTATAACCCCCAACGTAGCTATATTTGTAGATGGGGCCTCTCAGGAACTAAGGTCGAATGAGGTCAAAAGAGTGGGGCTTTAATCTGATTTGATGGTATTAGTCTCCTTATTCAAAACAACAGAAAGCTCCCTAATTTGAACACCTCCCTCAGTTTCTGTTTCTCTCTGTCTCTTCCTCCCTGCATGCACTCACTAAGCTATCTGCAAACCAGGTAGAGATTCTTCACCGGAAACCAAACTGGCCAGAACTTTGATCTTGGACTTCTAGCCTCAAAACTGTGAGAAAATATACTTTTGTTATTTAAGCCACCCAGTAGGTTGTAATTTGTTATGGCAGCACTACTAAGACAGTGCCCAATAAAAAATGATCAAAGCCACAATTATTCATAAACTAACTCTTTATGGAAACTAATGTTTATGTTTTATGTTTTAAATTTTATTTTTATAAGCATATGCTTGTAGAAAACTGAAATATACAGAAATATCAAACTAAATTAGCAACTTACTGTTAAACTACAAATTAAAGTTCCCTGTAAAAGTTTAGTATGCTTCTAAAATATAGTTTTGATCATGTTACATACATAATTTTATATGCCTTTTTGGTTAACACTGTATGGAAACACTTCTCTTTTAGAATTAGTGTTTTGAATTTCTTCAGATAAATACTCAGAAGTAGAATTCCTAGACCACAGGTTAGCTCTATTTTTAATTTGTTGAACAACCTCCATACTATTTTCCACAGTGGCTGCACCAATTTACTATCCTCCCAACAATGCATAAGGGTTTCCTTTTCTCCACATATCTTTGCCAATACTTGTTGTTTGTTGATTTATTGGTGACAGCCATTCTGACATTTGTAAGGTGATATGTTGTCTTAATTTACATTTCTTTGATGACTAGTGATATTGAACATCTTCTCATATATCTATTGGATATCTGTATATTCTCTTTCAAATAGATATGTGTACCTTTATTTTCATTGCTGCATTATTTACAATAGTCAAGATATGGAAGTAACCTAAATGGCCATCCATGAAGAATGGATAAAGAAGATGTGGTACATATATACAATGGAATATTAGCCATAAAAAAATAAAATTTTGCCATTTGCTACAACATGGAAGGACCTAGAGGGTATTATGCTAAGTGAAATACCTGTAAGTCAAACAGAAAAAGACAAATACCATGATTTTTACTTATATGTGGAATCTCAAAAACAAAACAAATGAACAAACAAAACAGAAATAAACTCATAGATACAGAGAACATCTTGATGGTTTCCAAATGAGAAAGGAGTTGGGGGGTAAAAAAGGGGAAAGAACTAAGTACAAGTTGCCAGTTATGAGAACAATTATGGGAATGTAGACAGCACAAAGAACATGGTCAGCAATATTGTGATCACTGTGTGTGGTGTCACTATGTGTACATGTTGCATAGTAAACTTTTCGAGGTGATAAGTTATATGTGTCTAATCACTATATAGTGCACCTAAAACATGTAATACTATATGTCAACTATAATTTAAATAAAATTTTAATTTAAAAGAAAAAGCAATTTCTCAATATGATACATTAAATTCCTTTAAACATAAACATTTTACAACTTAGGTTATTTTCAAAATTAATATATTTGAATGAATCAGAGTATGAGATCATTGGATCCAATGTATGTTTCTTAAAGACTTTTTGATTATATATATATATATTATATATATATATATATAATATATATATATATGTGTGTGTGTGTGTGTGTGTGTGTGTGTGTGTGTATTTGCTTTGTGGGGTTCCAATATTCATGAATTTCAGTAATCATTATTTAATTAAGTAACACCAGTTAACACAGCTCAAATTTCAATTACAATGGTTTTGTAATAAACAATTTGACCTTTTCAAAAGAGAGATCTGACTTTTGTCTCCAGCTCCTGGGAGGAACCTCTAAGCTGCTGGAATGTCTGGAGTAGTAGGAGTGTCTTCATTACACATGGTGGACCTCTCAAACAACACAATTTATGCTCACAAAGTAACTAATGATGGGTATACTGGGCCCCTTTACATCGGTCCAACCTCTTGAGGAGAGGGCAGGGTTGAATATGATGTGTTGAAGTCCCAGTAAAACTCTGCATGCTGAACCTCAGACAGACTTCCCTAGCTGGCAGTACTCCCTGTGTTATCACATATTGTTTCCAGGAGGGTATTGCATCCTGGGGTCAATGGAAGCTTTGCATTTGCAACCTTTCCATGAAATATCTGTAGTAACAAATCACAATTATTTAGTCCTCTACAGATGGACACAGGCACATTCTGGCTCTCAGAACAGTTTTGAAACACAATAAAATTATGTATTTGTATGTGCTTTTTAGTTTTTAAAGTGCTTTTACATTCATTATTTGATTTATCACTCAAAAGCAGTGTGTTTCTGATGACAAATTATTGATTTTTTGATAAGTGATTCAGAAAGTTCTCGATAGATATGCAGATAGACAGACAGACAGAAAAACAGGCAGAGTAGTCACGGAATCATGGAGTCTTCCTGCTGGAAAGGATCCCAGAGATCATGTCCTTAAGACAGTTCATTTTAAGCTTTAAAAGAAGGAGAATTGCCTTACATCACATAGCTATATTGGCAATGTCTCCTGATGCTTAAATCTTTTGCCACAACATCAAATTGCTATTTGCATAACTACGGAATAGGTTTTTAAAGCAAAATAATTCCAAAGAAAAGAGAAATAATTCTCTTTTGACACCTGTTATAAAAACAAAAACCCTTGCCCTGACTGGTGTGGCTCAGTGGATTGAGCACCAGACTTGGAACCAAAGGGTCACGGGTTCGATTCCCAATCAGGGCACATGCCTGGGTTGCGAGCCAGGTCCCCAGTAGAAAGCACATGAGAAGCAACCACACATTGATGTTTCTCTCCCTCTCTTTCACCTTCCCTTCCCCTCTCTATAAAAATAAATAAATAAAATCATTAAAAAATAAAGAACCATTCCCATGGATAATTATTCTCAAGAAAGTGGTGGTAAGAAAAGAGGTAAAGAGGTACCTAGGGATTGTGAATATGCATAGTATATCTAAATCAGATGTATCTCTACAAACAGGGAAATTCAGTGAGTAAAATTATTGGTTTGGGGTTCAGCTGGACCTAGGTTTACTTCTTGGCCCATCTGCTTACCAATTGGTTTCTTAGCTGTTTATCTGACCATTCTAAGACACAATTTTCTTATCTACATAATGAAACTTACGAAAGTAACATTTATCTTAAGAGAATGTTGGCTGGACTAAAATGAAATAATCTCTGTAAAGTATTTGGCACAGTCCCAAGTAGCAAATATTCAATAAATGCTAATTATATACATTTGTATCAGTGAGAAATATTTTCCTAACCTCAGAATTTCTCTAAACCCTTTCACTCCCACCTCAAATCATAGAATTTCCACATTATACACTCTAAGTTTTTGCTCCTTTTGGAGCTTGGTCCTCTTTCTTGGAGAATTCACAAGATAGTCAAATCAATTAGTGCCAGACTTAATACTGTGGGGTTCTCAAGTATAAGCTAAAGGACTTAAAAAAAATTTAATGCAGATTCTTGGATTCCCACCCACAGAGATTTAAGTTCAATTTGCCTCAGGTACAACTTAGATATTATTATTTTTAAATTCCTTAGGTACATTTAAGATTAAGACCTAATACTCTAATTTGTTATGAACTCTATAATTTAAATTTCACACTTTGTAATTACAATTTGGTCTTTGCATAGGAAAAAAAAATGCAGTCACAAAAACAGTCCCTAAGGAAGTTCCAATGTCGGACTTAACTACTTTAAGATTTTAGATAAAGTACTATAGATATGTCAAAGAATTAGGGGATATAATTTATAAAGAAATAATATGTGATGAAGTTGCCTTACTAAAAAATAAAGAATATTGATAGAAATTGTAAAAAAAGGATTAAATAAAAAATCTAGAGTTGAAAAGTATAATAATAAATTTGAAAAGTCACTAGAGGGACATAGCAGATCTAAATGACAAATGAAAGACTCAGAAAACTTGAAGATAAGCACGGGAGATTGTTCAGTCTGAGAAAGCAAAGCATGGAATTCTTGTGCCTTCTATAGAAAACAAAGTGAACAAGTGATTGAATGACCAACTGTTTGCACGAACTCCCTAAGTCACCTCTGACTGAGTGAGCAGTTGATCTGCTTTATTGGGGAGAAGGGATACTGAGGACCCATTGTGTTTCTTCAAAACTGCCAGAGCTGACCATTTCTAGTGGGCACTGTTCATGACAGAAATGAAATCAACAGTGTCTTTTCAACTACTTGGAAAATAACCAGATGTGAAATATTATCCTATGAAAGATATCACCTAAATGAAGTAGTATACCTAGGACTTACCTTAATGAATACTATCCTCTATGTCTTTCTAAATTTGTGAAATAGGTGGCAGTATAGAACTCCTGGACTCGGTTATACATATTTACATATATGCCATATGTAGAAGAAGCTTCCTTCTAAAATATGATTTTAGTTTCCTCTCTAAATGTCCCTACTGCTTTTAATACCAAAGTTGTCTAGCTATCATGTTATGATCCCTTGGCAGAGATGTGGATTTGTATTTGGAAAAAGCTCATGTGAGAATACTCTGATACAGAAATATCTTCTGTGTTATAATAAGAATCAGTTACATACTGAAACATAAGCAGAGTTAGCAGTTGTAATGGTGTAGGGAGAACCATTTTAGTGTCTGTTGTCAATGACAGTTGATGGAGACTGTGGCTTCAAGGTCTGTATTAATTTTTCAGATGTAGAGGAATCAAGTGAGGCAGTGGAACCAACAGTTGTGTAGTCACAAATAATTTGAACAGAACTCTTCCACATTGTTGCAATGTTTACAATAAAGTGATTACTTGTCAAATTTTGTATGCAAAGCACTACTGTTAGGAAGTAGAATCTCATGAGACAGATTTATCATCATTCAGTCTATAGTTCAGCAAACAATGATTATAGAGAGCAAAGTTCTGGGCTCTGTAGTACTGCCAGTGCTCTGCCCTGCTGCTCTTGTCCCACTCTGCCCAAAAGCACAGCCTCCTGAGTTCACACACTCTAAACTCTCCCACCCCAACTCTTGACTATGTATTGTCTTACCCCATCTAAAATTATGTTAAAAGCTTGCTCACTTTCATGTTCCTTTCCTTCTCCCCTATTAAACTTCACATGCAGAGACCTTCCTGTTCAATCCCTCCAGGAAGAGAATGGTACCTGCGCACACTGAGCACT